AACTAGACTGCCTGGTGCGGACTGAATGATCCGTAGTTGTTCAGCTTTGTAGCTCACGCACGCAAGCTTTCGCTTCTCGTCCTCTGGAGCCTCACTAATCGTCCCATTGTGTGGGTGTTCTTGTGTCCCGTTCCCACATGGGATGGAATCTCCAGAACCTGGGCGAGGGAAAACGATTTCGCAAATGGTATTGTGTGCTCCTACTACGACCTAAGTCTTCTAAGTGTCCAGGCGTGACGGATTTCCCGAATCGCATTCAAAGAAACTTGAATGACACGTGGCACTTTTTCAGCAAAAATAGAACTGGACTATAGAGTAACTTTCTAACCAAGCTGGGGGGGGATAAGTAGGTCAAGTGCGGTGATCAGCTCGAGTCAATTGTTTAATATAAATGAATTTCAACCATACATGTCCGTTCTTTTTCAGGTTTTCGATTGCAGGCGAGAATGTCGTACGAATGTGGCGATCCATAATCTGCTGTAACTCCTTGGTGATCTCATTTTGGAATATCTGAAAAAAAGTCACGAGTGATTTTCGATTTTTCCCTCTGATTTTTCCCTATGTCGGCATTGCGACAAAGATTTTGAGGGGTTTATTTAGTAGTCAAACAAAAAAACCGGAATCAAAGGCACAGTCTACGATGTGGACGAGGTTGAACCTACTCTTGTGGCTTTGCTGCGCTTTCCTTTTAAGACGGTGAAAAGTAGGACTTATCAACGAAGAAGGCACACTGGTACGCCTGACTCCACCCCTATTATCTTCGTGGACTGATTCTCTACATGGCTGCATAACGAACATTTGTTCTGTCAATGTTTCAGCAGAAGTTGCCTATTTCAGAGCCCGCGAAGAGACATTCTTGGGACTGAGTGGCCACCCACAAGTTGGGGGAGGGTCAAAGAAATCAAAGAAACCTTTTTGAAAGGTCAGAATTGGGATGAAGAACCTAAGCGACCACCCGCCCCATGCCACTTCTCCCCTCCTTCTCCCACATGATCGATTACGAAGATTAGTACTTCAATTGTACACTAGAATTAAACCACAACCACCAGCTAAAATATACCCCAAGATATTTTTTTTCATGCTATAACTCACCCGTCGCATTAAGTCTAGTGATTTTCCGGCATCGTCTGCCATGTCCGCCTTATTCCGTCTGATCACCTGACGCAAAGAGTTGACCTGAAATTTTTATATTAGTAGTGTCACGTCACAATCTCCATCAGAAACAACATCTCTGCCTATTTTAGCAACAGCCTAAAACTTCGGCAAGGCATACCTTTCTTACATCCCGCTCAAAGGCAGCGGGCACGGGGCGGGCGGTTGCTGAAAGTTTTCTGTAGGATTGACGATTTGTTTTTTCGTGAATACCGAAGCAAGGGCACTGCCTTAAAGCATCAACTCGGTTGGCGGAGTAGTCCTGCTATAGTTGATTGGGACTAGGCTCCCTTGTAGAAAAACGTAGGTAATCAAAAGTATCCAGAATTTCTCCTGCGAAGTACTTGTTAGTTTTTGAGCATCTTTTGCAGGCAGCCGGTATCCTTGTCGCGGAATTCTCGATCTGCAGGTGAGGTTATGGACCAGCCGCACCGCTGGTTTCAAAATGTGTGTAACTTGCATTATTCGCCCCTATTTAATTTTTTGTTGACCTTATGAGTTCAAGAAGTATTCACATCGCACACTGTCTGTGCTGAATCGGGTAGCGTTGCGAGCTTTTCGTTTTGATCACAAATTTCTTTAGTGTAATATTCTGGAAGTACTATGTACTCTATTCCATTTGAGAAAACAAACATACACGGGCTGAACTGCCATCAGTTTCGATTGAGGAAAGTATTTGCTCCAATATGTGTATCCGCATGTTCATTTTGTTACCGTTTCCATTGCCCGTCATTTTGTCGAACATTTTCTGGAAACAAACAAAATTTTTAAACAATCAGAAATGATATGGTCATCGCTCGAATAATGTCAGGAAGTAAAGAGTGATACCGAAAGCAGCGAACTGAGCCTAAAACTTAAAAGGCAGTTGGCACGATAAATCCCCCAAGGCGACTAGGATCAATACTCCTGGCAGGATAGAATTCCGCGACCCTGGGCAGGCGCTGCATAGCGGTTTCCCCGAGGAAGGTGCCCTTATAAGGGCCCTATCAAGCTACATTAGCGTCACAAACGCCGCCGTCACGCCCGCCGCCCACAAAATGGACGAACCGTTTCCTGACGCTCGTATTCATTCATTTGCTAAGCAAATTATGAAGCGAAGGGATTGGTATGAAGCGGCCGTGATGCTGCATGCATATATGGGTACACATATGCAGCCGTATCTTCGGTAGCGGTGATTGGTAAGATGCCTACGGGAAACTCGTCCGAAATCGATTTACAAGTCACTGAGAACGGAGGCTTTCTTCGCAGGATTTTGACCGTTTCACTCCGTTCTTTCGCCATTTCCCCACTATACAGCGCCCTACTAGCATTTTAGGCTCAATAGGAAACCATCGTGCCAACTGCCCTTAACCAGGCATGCCTATGAGCAGAACAATCTTTGTTCTGAGAATGGTATTAGCGACCGAAAGAAAATAAAGATCCTCTTATGATACAGGTGTATAGAACTGGCAAAATGAAAACAGCAGAACGAATAGACAGTAGAAATGAGCACGAAAGAATTTCTTGGGCTCTGCGCCTTCTTGTGTTCGGGCTCTTTGAAGTACCTCGGTGCGATGAAAGGCCAATCATACCAGAACGGTCCTTCCGTACACCCAGAATCCATTTTGGTATAAAAAAACCTTACGCACCCAGTACACTTGATCATCACTTACTACACTTATCACTAGCATTGACATGCACTTCGATTGATCTCCGCGTGCCTTCGGTTACTCGGTTACCTTCGCTTTGTTTGAAAATTGCAATCAGTTGCCGATTGGTTAACAGTAAGGCTATTTCATTAGTTCTGTTATAATGAGAGCCATGGAACATTATGCGACTAAATCCGTATGCAGGAGAGGGACCAGTGACTCAAGGGGTACTGTGAGTTGTCTCAGAGCTACCACTCGCACGAGACCGGTATCTTGGGGATGATTATGAACTGATTCATTTATTTAGTTATCTGAATTGCGTCCATAGGGTGCGCTGCAGAAAACGCGATAATGACTGATCGAGGCTATAAGGTACACTCCTTGTCCCTGGGACGGACTGGGCGTAGCATTCGAACACGGCATAGAGTGGATTACTCATAAGATATAATATTTGGGACTGCTGTCATATTGTTCTGTGTTGGACAAAGACATGATTTTTCTCAGGGAAAGGTTTAGCCGCAGCTATGTTCAGTTCAAATACGCGGCCACGCCTACCGCATCTCATTGATTTTGAGAGTGGCGGATGAGTAAAATGAGGACTGAAGAATGACATTTCCAGAACAAAACCACTCGCAGTTTGAATAAGGGGGGGGGGAATTCAAAGACATTCCTTTGCAAAACTGAGACCGCTTAATGGAAATGATCATCTCTGGCTGAAAGAGAGGAGGGAGGAGCTTTGGGAGGGTGAATCACTTTCTTAGCGCAAAAAGAGGATTCTGCAATCCCAATATGGCGCAAGGAGTACCTCAAATGCGGCTAATGCCGTTTGGACTCCAGACAATTTCGGCACCGAGCCCTTTTTAAATTGCCTAAGTCACCAAATCCGCTAAAAACTTGTATATAGGGGTAGTTTAACATCCTGATTACGAATATGACATTCACTCTTGTCG